TATTAGACTTCAATGTTGGAAGAAGTTGTGATGATTCAAAACCTTGTACATTCTTGATTTGGCCAATTAAGATGTTAATACCTGTTGCGAAAGCATGTAAGATCTAAAATTGTATTGTATCAGTCAACAAATGATTAGAATAACATATTGATTTCATGAATGAGAATGTTGTTGATGGAGTTGAGTGGAAATAAATAGGGAAATAAACTTTTCAAGGGTGTAGAATTAGAGGACTTTGGAGTGACAGGCTAAAGCCCCCAATTTTGTTTATAGTTTTATGTTTTGATACAAGATGTTAGCCCTCAGGTGGAGGGAGAAGAGTGAGCTCTGGGGTGAGAGCTTGTATCTTCCTTAACTAATCTATCTTCAAGTCTATTCAAGTTTTAAATTAGCCAATGTTCTTTATAGAATCTCTAATACGGGTAAAGAATATTATTGTTCATATTTGACACAACATAATTGGAATACTTTCACAATAGAATTTTTGTACTTGTTACTGATTCATGATTAGAAAATGATATTTTTTTATATTGCCTTCATTTTATAAATGTCTAGTTAAGTTTAGTTAGTTGTTTACTTTACTTTCATTCAACAAAAAATACAAAAAGAATCAAATTTTCATTTATATTATAGCATCTATAGTTTGAGTAAGAATATTTCTCTAAGTAGAAGTTGTTATCTAATTTCTTCTTATTTTGGTTGCATATTGTCTTTTGTCTCTATGGGTTCCATATTCGAGGCTTAATCAAAATGTTCTATATTACATGATAACGATACGTATACTTGCATAGTATCCTATATTTAAATATAATAACTGTATTTTGCATACATATTCTTTACCCTTTGATCCAGACATAAAGAATATTGACTAATCCTGCGCTTGTTTACTGAATCTGCGGCTAGGCTGGGAGGATACTGACTTTCACTTAAGAGCTCCCACATTCCCCTCGCCTGAGGGCTAAAATCTACACTTCACACCCAAACGATAGAACCGAATTGAGGATTTTAGTCTGTCACTCTAAAATCTACAATTCTACGTCCGATAATTTTATTTCCCTATTTATTTGCACCCAATTTCCAATGGCTTTGACCTCCCTGAATCTTGAATGTAATCTTCACTTTAGTTGTAAAACTCAACATATTTTAACAAATCAATTGGCCAGATTGAAAGTAAATTAAGATCAAAGTGAAAAGATCATCACAATTTCTTAAACAGTTTCATGACTTCACCAATTCAAATCACAATTTCACAAATCTTGAGACAATGAGAAAGACAAATAAAACTACTCAGAACTCATGGGGAAAACACAACAAAACTCGGAATTTATATATAAAATCAAAGC